AGTATATTAATGCAAAAATGTTGTGTACACTTTTACTGTCACGATATTCTCTACACATTTTCTTGATAAATAATTTATCTTAATCAAATAGTACGAAAACTTTGAGGCTTTAAAATTTTACTATATTACTCTCCTTATTCCGAAACTGCCCCAAAATTACTTAAGGTGTCTTTAATGTAGTATTTGTGGTATCTAAGTTCACTGTAAATAAAAATTGATTAACTACTAATTTTTGTTAATTCTTATTGATGCTAAACACGTTTGATAGTTCCGGTGTGGCAGTAGTTCTGTCAACCTGGAAGTTGTCTAAGAGAACGATTAAAATCCCGATGCGTCCAAATCGGCCGTACACTTCATGCTATAGTTTTCTTTGTTCAAGAAATATTTCGAAGAGGTAAAATGTATTTGATAGTTCGGACATACGGATGCGGCTAACCCATGGCCGTTGCCATGGCCATTGCCACTCGAGTTATGGCTGTTTTCGTAGAATTTCGGCTGTTCCAGGCCTTGCGCGGTGAAACGCGCCATAGCAACCTAATGTGAAGCTGTGAGTGAACAGTTACTTTGTTTTTCTATGCGTCCTAATTCTTGAGTGCGTTTACTTTGTTAGTGTTTTTTAGTTGTCATGCACTGCAAAGGAACTTAAGATATAGTAGTTTAGCTGCAACAGAAACTATTTGGTTAACTTAGACTTGATTTGATGCTTTTGACTGATCGGACATTTCTATCGTGAAGCGAAGAATTTTTCTGGGAATTTATTTGCTAACTTGTGTAAAACATTTTTCAATCATTGGAATTTTAAAACATGAACTGCTTGTTTAAAATAGAATTGCACACTTTTCAGGACAAATTTCGAAGAAAATTTGATTTTTTTTAAAAAAAAAAGGAAAATGTTGCCTACGTATTTGAGGAAACTTTACGTTTAGCCCAAATATTCACGATTCAAGAGCGAATGTGCAGCTTGTTCCTTCTATTAATTGAAAAAGATCTCTTGGAATCCGTATGAGCGAAAGACGATTTCAACAACAGTCATTCAGAAACTTGCCCCTTCAACAGGGTGGATCGACTATACATACTATTTAGCAATGTAGGGTGTTTAGAAATATTTCCATATATTTATATTATAAATAGGCGAATGTCAATACAACGGCATCATGACAGCTCACATTGTCTCCCAAATCAGCTCGTGACATGACAGCTCTCAAATCATATACATTGTTTGTTGTGAATATTCTGTGTAAAAATATAGGTCTGAACTACACCCAATACATTCACACTTGAACATTCACCTTGTATTAATGTTTAATCACTTTTTGCATTATATGAAGCAAAAATAATGATTTTATAAATCAGTAAGTGTTTGATGTTTTTTATAAATTTATAATAAATTAAATATACAAAAACACACGTTTGTATTTTATGCGCTGCTGTACAATTCATCCGATTGCGATAAAACTTTGCCATCATATTGTTTGCGCGAAGAATATAGGCATAGTACAATGGGAATGTGCGTTTATCTGTCGCATATAGCCGCACGTTGTTGATTTTATGCGTTTATGCTGATTCAAGCGCCCCTGAACAAGCTCTACGCAACCCGCCGCACCCTCAAGTATTAAGCGCGTCTTCGCTACATATTCTGACCCTGTGATTGTGAATTATCAGCCGGAATTATTACTTGAAAGATATCTCGGACAACTATATCAACTTACTCCAAGTCAGTGGCATAGCCAATGCCAGCCCAAATTTGAGGGAGAACGTTTTATCAATAGGATACTTGACAACCATGCCCAAACCGGGCCATGGATCAAACCCATACTCGCGAGAAAGTCATCTATGAAAATGTTTGCAGAGCGTAGCGTAAAACGCCATTAACAATTACTTGACCAGTAGTTTGTGAAGTGTAATGCATTGCAATAGCGAAGCATTGCCGGGTCCACTAGTTTTAAATAACGAATGCTATTACTTTATAACGTTAGAAGTCATCTATGAAACAATACTTTCTCTGGGATATATTTCTCCAAGGCGATCAGTTACGTTCGTAGGCAAGGCGCAACCCCCCTCCCCACAAGTTAATGAAGGGACTTTATCTTAACAAAATCTATTCTGCAACTCAGGACTTAAATAATACAAGATTTTCCAAAATCGAAGTCCAAAACTATTTTTAAAAAATGTATTTTGCTTGCTATATGCCATTTATGAGTTGTTTCTCATTAGATAAGCAATGTGCCTTATAAAAATCGAGACACTGGCAACCCAAATTGTTTTATAGGTCTATACCAAGAAGTTTGAAGGGCAGACAAAAAGAAAATTATTGATCATATAATTAAGAGGTATGTATGCAGAAAATTTAGAGTTCATTAAAAATCATGTAATTTTAGAATGTAAAACAAAGTCTATTGCATTTGAATACATTTCCTAAAACTTCTATGCATACATTTGTATTTTTTTGGCATAGTACTAAAATCTGCACACATTAATTGAGAAAATGCAAATATTTTTTTGGAAAAAGGTGTCTAAATTATTTTCAAAATTCCAATTCCAACTGTCAAAGTCCCACTTAAAATGATCGAAATCAATAAACATATTTAACACATTGACTGCCACCCATATTAGGCACATTAGTTTCACCCATGAGCCAAACTTAGATATAATATTCTATGAACAGCGTAGGTTATTTGAAGTACACTGGTAACATTAGTGGCCTTGCATGCAACAATCTACAGGCTAATCAGGTTGTCTAGCAAAATTCTTATACAAATTCTGTTTTTTCTCAGTTATTGAAAAGATGTTACTAATATTTGAAATGTATAAAAATAATTAAATAATGACTAAATAACAATAAGCATGAATCAGGGGATAGCATTTCCCATTAATAATTCAAATGCAGATAAGTTTTCAATTTATAGATTCATTTCAAACTTTGACACCACTTAATTTATATTAATACTGATACAATACAAACCATGTTTCAATACTGACTGTTGACGTAAGTCCAGGAAAAACTATAAAAGTATAGAAAATTAAAGCAAATTGAAAGTCTTGTTCTCTCATTCTAACCTATCATTCCAAAAAATGGGAAATAATTTTTATTAAAAATGATCTGTGTAAACAAATATTTTTATTTTTCTAATTTAATGGTAAAATATTTTTAAAAATTCATCCACATTTTTTGAAATCTAGAATTTTTTGAAAATTAAAACATTAAAATAAAATTTAAAAAATCCTTATTCGGGACGTTCATGGAGATTTCCCAGTGTTTTTTTTTTTTTTCCTTTCTTTTCCAGTTGCTAGATATCCTTTTTATGTTTCTCCCAGAGAGGATAAGAACTCCTGTCACTACAGTTACTTGGTGACAAAAACAAATTTGATAAAATTTCTGTGCACTGAGCCCACCTGCAGCCTCATGGCTTCTCAGAGGGGTCTCAGCTGAAGCCAACACAGCACCATAGCTGTCATCTCAAAGCATTCAATGGTTTAAATGAACACCGAACTCATGCAAAACACAGCTACTACATATTCAAATTGCATGCTCCATTTATTTAAATATATAAAGCAATTTCATTTTTAGGCCTCTAAAATACTTTTTTCATGGATAATATAAATTACACACTTCACATATTATCCCCTTTCCTACAGATACACTAGATGGTGTTTCAGAGCCAACTCCCAGACAGTCCCTACAAAGATAGAAGAATACTAAGGTTAGTCAATAGTTTCAGTAGCATACATGGGATGTATTTTTTTCTCTCTGAATCATAAGAAAACACTTTTAGTATACCATTTATCAGCAAAACATTAACTACAAACACTCCTAAAACAAAACAGAAATGACTCATGAAAGACCCTACCAGAAAATCTATGATAAGACTATCTCAGTGGTGCTGGAATGCAGCAGTTTCATTTATCAAATTCTGAAAATATCACATGCACTTATGCAACTTTAGTGAAGTTTTTGTGCAACTGGTAAAATAGTACAACATATGAGCCTATTTTACCGTGACACATCTAAATTACAGTAAAAATGTAATTCAGAACTTTTGAGTTCTCTAAATTATGTAGTACCTAGCAATTGGAGAATATTATATCAAATACTTCAAATGTATTGTGTAGTCAAATACTCCAAATGATTTAAGATGTCATGAGAGTAATTGCATGGTTAGAAGTAGTAAATTAAACTTTTAGTTTACATTGAATATTAAGAATTAATAAATAAACCTCTTTATTTTTGTTAAATTATTTCCAGTCACAATAACATACATACCACTAACACCTTGAACTACCCAATAGTTTCACATATCTTAAATTCAACAGGATGGCACAATCCACATTTGTATCAATAAAGCCAATTGAAAAAACAACTAATAAATCACTATTTAAAACCAAACAAAAACCTTTAAAGACTGTATAACACGATAACCGGATATTTGTTTAACTAATCGCCAATGTTTACAAATCAACGGTATGGGATTTGAGGTTAAACACTACCAGATTACGTACAATTCGTAGATCCAGGTTGGACGATCCGTAATGCAAAAGTACTTGAGTTATTGGTATTAAGCCAACAGAATTATTTTTTCAATAAAGCCAGTTGGTATAAACCAGCAAACCACTATTTCTTCATAAAATACACTTCATAACTCGGCCATTGAAGTCGCACTTATCCACATGCAGCTGATGTTCCAATGTCTCGTGCGGTGTCGTGTAATTTACGCCAAGACTGCCAACTTTACAAAAACAGTCAACCCATCATGCAATACATTTTCAAAAGTAGAAAATAAGTTAGCACGCATACAAATCAAGACCACCACCTGCATTTGCATGGTATTTTCGGTGGTCATTCCATGAAAAAGAAAATTCCAGTCTTGCGCGACCTCGCAGTCCCTTAATTACCAACTGCTGTGGAATTGAATGTTTACCATTAATGCAAGGATATGGTACACGATAAGAGAGGGTGAAAGAAAATAAAAAAACTCAATTTAAGTAATGTATAACAAATTTATTGCTAATATATTTATTCACATGATAAAAAATAAACTATGCACATCTTTTCTTTTTGCAGGTTGCATACTCTTGAGAAAGTATGAAGAATTTTTTTTACAAGACCATTTCAAAAAGTATTTACTGTATAATATATTCTTGTTTAAAACTAAAAAAAGGGGAAATATTAAAAAGTGCATTTTGTGACAATGTGATCAAGTAATATACTTTCATACAAGATTATTTTACAAGGGAAAGTAACTTACTGGACAAAAAACCCAACCACACATTATTTATTGTATTGTATATACAAAAAAAAAAAAAAAAATTATCTCAAAATACAATATTTATTTCAAAATGACAAAGTTGCAAAACTGCATCAATTCCGTAAATCAATAAGTAATATGAACACAATGTCAGTAATGTAGTCACCAAATTGTTTTGTCACTTAGCAACAGGTTAGCTGCCTACCATCTAAAACAAAACAACACTGCCAAAAAGTACAATAGGTTAAATATTAACAGAGGAAACAATATTTAATTCAGAATTCCAAGAAAGAAGTATGCTTAATTACAAACAACATTCTTTTGTCACATCAGTAAATAACACACACAATTGCATTCATTCCAATTTCACATTCATCCAGATGCTCAGTAGCTCATCGGCAACAAATGAGGCAGGTGTGAGATTGACTTGACAACAGACTGTTTCAACCACCTTTAACCATTTTAAAAATTCACATTTTCTTCATTATGGTTTGAATTTCACGAGTGGTATGTTTTTGGAAGATAAACACTTGTCGCATACCCACTCTGCATAAACTTCTGCTGTCAAAAGTTGATAGGCCGCTTCTGTCAGTCCTGTGCATATTCTGCAAAACAAAAAAAAGAACAAAAAAATTGCATTAGTAAAAATATGATATATATATTATTAATATATATATATATAATATATATATATATATATATATATATATATATATATATATATATATATATTGCTATAAAATTGAATAAGATTGTGAATGTGATCATTTTTGGTGGAATCCAAAAATTAAGTAAACAAAATTAAGACTGAGTTGCAAAGTAATTTCAATGTATGGTTCAAGACCCGAAGCCAAATCATTATTATTGACTTATGTGATCCAATTACTTAATTGATATCTTCACTCTAAAAATTCCTGATTGATTTTCCTGAAATTTCCTGAAGTAATTGAGACAAGGGCATGACCCAGAGAGATGCTTGTTTCATAGTCATTAATCAAACTACTGATACGAAAAAAAGATAAAAATTTTGGAGATTAAAAACGGTGAAATCTTATACACTTTTATTTTCCAACACCTTATCATCAAAAGACTTTCTCTACTGCTTGATCTGAAAACTCTATTCTTAATTTTCAGAAAATAAGTGTCAAATTTCATTATATGAATACTTTTAAAAAATTGTATTGTCAATAGTATCTGAAATTTAAAGGGGCAAGTTGTCGGAATACAAATTCAACAGGATGACAGCGAAAATTGATTATTTGTCAACATTTTAGAAAAATAGACAATATTTACTTGAAAAACTAGTAAATTGTAAAGACAGTGGCTCAGAAAAACAACAACTTGAACGAGAAAAGGAAAGCTAATAGTTTAGGTATGTTGTGTAAAACAGTACATAACTGTAAATACTGCATGTTTAGGCAAATATAAACTACAGTACAACCACTATTTAATGTTACTGCAGAGGGACCTAAAATTCTTATGTTAAATGGGCGTTTCTCATGACACAAATCAACATTTGCTGTAATAATTTATTTTATATAGTCTTGTACTAAAACATTAAAATATTACCCAATGAAATGAAAAAATATATAAATTTGTTACAATACATGGAAATATTTTTTTATCGAGTCTGATAGAATATGGAGAATTTTTTTCCCAATTAAATCGGTACAATAGACTCGCGCCCATGCGTTATCCACAATGACAGCGTCTGAACAATGTATTTTCAGAAATTTTCTCAGCTAAGCGTCCTCCCTTCCTTCAAATATAGTCCCCAATCTTATTGTATGGTGCAGTTCGCACCCCCAACTAATTCTGACTTAAATTTTATGATAATTAAATATATAACACAAATAAAATTTATACTAATCATTCCTACTTTATAATTTATTTTTACTTATTGCAAATTGGGGGGAGTCTTGTTGCAACCATTACCTATTTATTTAGGACGACTTCAAGTGTGTTATGGGGTGAGAGGGGGTATTCAAAATACTGTTAATTTGTGTTACGTGCTTTACACAGTCCCATACCCAATTACATGTCAATATTGTCACACAAGTTCCATCTGTTATCACAAAATTTATACAGATGAGGGGCACTCCCGCTACGCCATGTGATTCAGAACAGCTAAATTAAATCAACCCCACCTTAATTTTCATACACTACAATTGGCTAGTGTGTGTGTCTTTGTGGATGCGTGCGTGTGTGGATGCGTGCGTGTGTATGCGTGCGTGGGTGGATGCGTGCGTGCGTGGATGTGTGCGCGCGTGGATGCATATGCGTGTGTGTGTATATATATAGTTGGTCAAAAAAATAAAAATCCAAAAATTTGTAACGTTAAATGCGGGTTGTGTGTCAAAGCTAATGACATTAAATCAAAAATATAATTGCATTAACTACATATAGACATCGTCAGGACTTTCAGAAATTAATGTTAAATGCGGAACAATGTTAAATTGAAGTTCTGTTGTAATTACATTTGTGTAATGAAAGAAATCTAAATAAAAAATAAAATGATGTTTATATTATGATATTCAGTGGATACAGCACTATCCAAACAAAAATATTTAAAGAATATATTTGGAGTTGTTTTTGAGAAAATAGTTTTTAAAATTAATTTTATTTTAAGTCGCAATAACATGTCATGGGCGAATGACAGTATAGGCATATATGTTCAGTTAAGTTATACGCTGTGATATTAAGTTACATATTCTTAAAAAAGTTAACACTTCAATCAAATTGAATAATTTTCTCTTGAAAGCTTGAAAACAAAATCTTTTTTTTCAAATTTATTAATGTTGCACATATTGTTTTCAAAAAATTACGTGAAAATTATTCATATTTTGAAAGAAAAATCTGTATTCAATACTGTAGTTGTAGGAAGCCATCGACAAAAATTGAACTTTTGCAAATTTTGGAAAAGTGACATATTTCAATGAAACTGATCTGTTCCATTTTGTTTAGAGTGTCCTTTACATTATCCAAAGACAAAACTCAATTAAAAAAAGAAATTGGAGACATTTTAAAATGTCCATGAGGTTTTAGGTAAAGAACCCCCAAGAATTAAAATTTTCTGTTTCAAATTGAAAGGGCTGCGATATAAATAAGATGAAGTGGGAAATTAGATCAATTTTGGTGAAACTCCTGCTTATGGTTTAGTCGATAGTGTGTTTACAGACGGACAGACGTTTCAATGGAAATCCATTTTTTGGCACAAAGGACCCACAAAATGTAGATTCTATCTACATGTTTTTGAGGAAGTAATATACTACATACAGGAATAAGACAAATTCTCCTTTTCGGTATCAAGTATCTTCAATGTACATTATTCTTTTGTTTGCTTCGGCATTAACTTTCCCTATGCTACATATGTAGGATGCGCAAAAATAACAAAAACGCTGTAGATCATTATGCAGGGGTGGAGTCCGGTCGGCCACCTGATTACTGGGGCCTGCTCCTCCTCCTAAGTTTTGCATTTTCAATTGTTGCGTTTTGTTGACAACTTATACCAGTTTTATAGAAGTAGTTTTTTACCATTATAGTCTTTAGCGCGTCTGTATATACGTGGTTACTTTGTTTTTTACTGCTGCCCTAACATTGGTAGTTGCCTGTTCATTAGTGTCATATTTCATAGTGACGTTTAGTGCTATAATTTAAACTTCAATAATGTATTAAAAGCTTGATAAAATGATAATGATTAAGAATTTGATAAAATATGGGAAACTGTTGTGAAAAAGAAGAGATTCCAGGTTTCACAATCCATAATAAAAAATTGCCTTTCAACAATTACCATTAGGATTGGAGCAATTTACAGTGCTTGCCAGAAAAGTCACGATAGTAAATTCTACAATATACTGCCATGAAGTCTGATAGTACATCAAACATGAAGTTGTGGAACCACAGATCTTCCTTTCACTTGAGTCTTATCAAGACCTAAATTCTAAAAGAGGGGGGCAAGTCCCATTCATTAAAATCATTAAAATACATCCGAGAATATATATTTTTCCTTCATGATTTTAGTGGATGTGATAATTCCCCCGGTGTACACAATGGAAGAAAATATTTTGGAGTACGTATCAGAAATCAGAAGTTACCACTGGGTCTGGGAGGTCAAAAACTGGGTTTTCACTAGTGCCTGATCACATACAACATACCCCAAGAAAAAGGTAAAATGACACTTTCCTAGATAAAATGTACTTGCAAACATATGTAGTAAAGAGAGTGTTGTAATCATGTGCTGGAAATCAGTGACTTTTTGACAGATAATCTCTAATCATCAAGCCCTTGTAACAAAAAAAAATGGATAAATCTTGTTCCTATGTGTAGCAAATTAATTCTTGTGTAGTTAGAATCCATGTTTTGTGAGTCCTTGATACTCAAAAATTGATTGACTGCAAATGCCATGTCTTGTCTGACTGATTGACACTAGCACCTCAACCATTTATCATTTCCAAATTTTCTAATATTATTTTGCTTTAAATTTTATTTTTGAATAGAGCAAAAAAATATGCTTAAAAATGGTATAGCATGCATTTTTGTTGAACTCTCCAATTTTCGATTTCACATTATTCTGCGTGAAACCTAAGAAATGTTTAAAGAATAATTTTCTCTAACACAGCTACAATTTCTTTGAATTTTTTGAACATGCAGTAGGGATAGAAAAGTGGTTTTGGTTCCTCTTTCACAAACTCATTGTATTTTCGAAAATTGCAAAATATATGATGACCTTTCTTAAATAAAATATGACCTAAAAACTATATCTTTACGTAGAATCTTGTACAATTTTATGGAAAATGAAAACAAAAAACATCAAAAACAAAAAATAACAAATTTTCCACAATTTCTGCTTGAAGTTAATAAATTTGTTCAAAAGTATATTTCTGAAAAATGGCTCTTAACTATTTCTTCCAATTTCCCCCCTGCATTAAAAAAAAGTGGTGCAGGTCTGTTTTTTGTTGAACTCTCTGAACTCGTGAAAGTTGCAAAAGTTAGGAATAATGCGAGAAAATGTATGCTGTTGTAACACTACCAGTTTAAAATATTCAGTACTAATAACTGTAATACGATAATTGGAAATGATAAAGAATTTATTTTGAAATGTATTTTTGTCTCAATTTATATTATTTAAGAAAATGTGAAGTCTAGTTATAAAACTTCAACTGCTTTATAAGTATGGCTGGAAAAAAATCATGATAAAAAAATAATAATAAAATAAAAAGTTTTAATTTTTTTTTAAAAAATTAAGATTTTTTAAATTGTATTAGCGGTTTTGTCTTTAAACCAAAATTGTTAAGTGTTTTATTTATCCTTAATTACATTATAAGATGCAAAAAAGTTACCTAAAACATCAATTTTTCAATTCATCATTAAATTGTTATAATTTTATTAAAAAAATAAACATATTTCGTACTATATAGTATTTGAGGAATCTAGTGCAATACCGCCCTAACTCACAAAATCTTTAAATTTGATTTACTTATAGTTTCGTGCTCTTGAAAAACCTGTCTTGTATCTACATTACCGAATAACCTTAATAAAAACAATACCGAATTAGACACTCATCCAATTGGCAGCATTGTTATGCTTTAAATTTTGGTAAAGGAGCGCCTGATTGGACAACAATGTTCCCTTTCCTTCAAGCTCGTGAGCTTGAAGTGTCACTATGTTTAAAATGAAGTTTAGATTCTTGAAAGATATTTCTGAATCTGTCATTCATATTATTTAAGGACATGCAATAAAAAACTGTTCAGAAGTACAATGAAAAAAGCAATCATAAAATGATATAAAGGACAACTTACCGATGAAACCAGAAATTACACCCAGACTCGCAAAGTATTGCCTGATCATTGTCATGGACTTCTTTGTGGCAGGTGCCACAGGGGTATATAGGGGGAGCATTAGGATTTTGTGGATTAAACACCATAGGTTGATCTGGAGGATAAACCTGAAAAAACAAAGATAACATTTCAAACCATTCGTCAAGATGAAAAATGTGATTTACACAAAAATGAACAAGATACTGGAAATTGGAATAATACCTACCAAAAATTCAAAACCAAATTACATTGTAAAAGGGAATTTAAATCACAGATTAATAATTTAATACTTATTTCTAAAAGAAACTAACAACAAAACTACAAAATGGACTGAGGGATTTCCTTTTAAAGAAAACATTTCTGTAAATATTTCTTTGTAATTCACCAAATAAGTAGTAAAATAAATTGGGTCATCTCCTGCTTCTACAGACTACATGTGATTGTTTCATGCAAACTGAGTGAAGGTATATTTAAATTTACATTTTACAAAATTTACATATCAAATCAGGATGTACTGAAAAGTGCAGTGAGAAGCAACTCACCTTCCCTGCTGAGACAGGCATGGGTTTAGGTCCCATCCCAGGCCCAGGGAATCCATGAGGGGGCCCGTGCATGCCCATAGGGTGCATACCACTCATCCCACCCATGGACCCCATATTTCCCATGGGATGTGGATGGGGTGAATGGTGATTCATAGGGCTCATGGCTCCCATGTTCATACCACCACTCATGTGGCCACCAGTGAGAGGGGGGCCACCCATTGGCCCACACAGACTGTTGAGAGAAGGACCTCCCATAGGGCCATTGTTAATAGGAGGGTTGCCCATGGGGCTACTGTTCATTGGAGGCCCTCCCATGGGGCTGCTGTTCACAGGAGGTGCACCCATTGGGTTTCCTAATGTATTCATGGGCGGCCCACTTAAGGGGCCACTCATCTGACTACTATTCATAGGTCCACCACCTATTGGTCCATTGTTCAAATGACCACTAGGCATAGGCGGGCCACCCATACTGTTCATAGAACTGTTCATTGGACTCCCCATAGATCCACTGTTCATCATAGGTCCACCCATGCCACTCATTGGACTTCCCATAGGTCCCCCCATAGGTCCAGTGTTCATGGGACTGCCTAGCGGAGGACAACTGTTCATAGGGCTGCCCAAAGGAGGGCCACTGTTCATTGGTGGACCAGACATAGGACCAGGATTCATAGACGGACCACCCATGCCATGGTTTCCCATATTATTCATTGGTGGTCCACCCATGTTGGACAAATGGCTGTTGTTTATTGTTGAACCAGTCATGCTGCCCATAGGACTCATTCCACCCATATGATGATGGTGATGGTTCATGTGCATATGATGTCCATGGCCCATGCTCATTGAATGAGCCATTTGCGGTGGTGAATCATCAAATGGATTAGAGGCAACAATGGTGTCCCCATAACCTACAACAATAAAATAAATGAATTACACAAACATTTTCACATGAAATATTTAAATGCAAATAACACTATAATGTTTACAAAGAGGAAATTTAATAATATTTTTATAAAATACCTCCAATATCAATAACATGACAATTTTCCAGCTCTATAGTTTTTATTTATTCCTGTTTTCATAGCTTTTTATTCATTTTTTGGCCTAAAATTATTTCTCAATATTTTATAATAGTTTGATAGATTTGATAATAGTGCAGAGACTTTTCAACTCAGTCTCAGATGGGATGGGTGAAATATCAATAGATTCTTTCATTGTATGATGTCATATTGATTCTTTTGTAATTTACATACTCGTACACATAAGAATATATGCAGTAATGAATAATTTACATAGTGTAGAGAAATGTATGCAATACTAAAGAAAATCTCCCAATACCAGAAAAGTGGTATTTTTCAAAACATTTGTCCATTTGCCCGAGTACAACACTGGCACCTAAACTATGCATAAGATTTTCCCTCCAAATGAATATTCCCCAGTTGATATGGTCTCACTTGATGCTTTGTAGTTCTGGAAGAAGAAGGAGGAGGAAAAAAAACAAAAACTTTGGGGGTACTTTACATGAAGCCCCCGAGATTTTCAAAATTTTCACAAAAATAGCTCCAAATGTTTTCTTCAAATTGGTATCAATAGAATGGAATACACTTAAAAGATGGCATAGATCCAATTTTCTCCGATAACTAAATTTTCAAAAATTTAAATGTTTGAATTTTTTGGGTATCATCCTGCAAGTAAAATATAGAAAATAAAGATTGTTTTCTTTAAATTAAAGTTGTTCGCCTTAATTCTTTCATTTACACATTTATATTCTTTTAAAAGCTTTAGTTGTTTCCGAGCAATTTGAGCAAAATATGGGCAGTACTCGAAAAAATATTAATAACCAGAATTTTAAAAAGATCTGCCAATTTTTTTACAAACATTTTTGGATAGTGCTAAATGCACTGTAGCAGATAGCATAGATCATCATTTTGGTGTATTCTTTTTCATATAAAAAAATACACAACTGTATTTTTTTGTATCACACCCACCCACCCAAGTGTGTGTGTGTGCGCGTGTGTGTGTGTGCGTGTGTGTGCGTGTGCGTGTGAGAGAGGGTTCTTGATACCGAAAAATCGATTGACGGTAAAACGCACGAACGGCGCCTGTCTAACCGTCCGTGTTTCTGCAAATTTGTTATTCCCCAATCGAACTGGCTGATGTCAGATCTCTTGAATTTGAAACTGATAGTTTAATTTTGGGAAGTACTTTACACTTAAATCCCTGGGACATTTTCTAAATTTTGAAAATTTTCAAAAGTCGCTCAAATTTATTTGATTAAGTTTTGTTGTTGGATAGCGTAAAAGACGCTGACGAAAAAGCACCAATATTTTTTCTTTAAATTTCTCCTCGTGTGTATCTGAGTATCAAAATTGAGAGATCAAAAATAGTAATGTTAATGTTTTCG